GGCTGAAGCCTTACTCATGTTATAAGTAAGGTTTCTGCTGAAATGCGTTAGCGTGCTACTACCATATCCTGCCATGTAGCCGCAGCACAGTGGCTAAATGGTTAGCACTTCCACCAGGCAGTGCAAGGGTCGTTGGTTCAAATCCCAACCACAGCACCACCTGCCTGGAGTTTGCATGTTCTCCCTGTGCCTGTGTGGGTTTCCTCCTACACTCCAAAGACATGCTGGTAGGTTAATTGGCTCCTGTCTAAATTGTCCCTAGTACATGTATGTATGAATGTGAGTTAGGGACCTTAGATTGTACGCCGCTTGAGGGTTAGGGACTGATGTGAATGTACAATATATATGTAAAGTGCTGCGTAAATTGACGGCTCTATATAAGTACCTGAAATAAATGAATAAATAAATGTAGCCAATAATGAATTGTTGCAATGGACATTACTGAGTAGCCGCCTTCATTGTATTAGAGGTGATCAAACACTGCTGGAATTTCCAACCAAAATGAACAGGATGTTGATCTAGTAATGTGGAATACTCTAGCTGAACCTTAAAATCTGTGCTTACCATTTTTGGTGGTCGTAAAATGAAAGTCTTGAATTGCTTCCACTGGACAGGATGCGTGTTGGACAACTAGCTGTGTGAAAAAACTTAACAATCAAAAAAAGTTAAAAAAAATAATAGATAAGCTACATGTGTAACAGTATTGAAAAAGATTGAAACAAATGACTGCAATTAAACCAAATATTGATCCTAATAGGGTTGATTCTCTTAGATTGTAAGCTCCAAGGATCAGGCCCTCCTATCCCTCTTGTATTGAACTGTATTGTTGCTGTATCGTCTCCCCCGTTATATTGTAAAGTGCTGAGCAAACTGTTGGCGCCATATAAATCCTGTATAATAATAATACTAAAACTGGATAGTGCAAAATCTGGTGCGGTTCTGCATAGAAACCAATCAGCTTCCAGGTTTTATCATCAAGCCTGGGTTCACACTGATGTGGTGCGGAATTCGCAGCGGTTTCTGTGCGAATTCCGCACTGCATTACAATCGTACCCCATTCATGCGAACAGCTGCAGGTGCGTATGTCAAGTTAACAACACCCCGAAATCGGTACGCAAAACGTGCTGCTGCGATGTGCAAAACCCAATCACATGGGTGTGAATACCCATGTGCTCCAATTCTAGTGTGGACCAAAAAAAGGATCCTGCACCTTTTCTGGCGTGGATGCGGTGCAATTTGGGCCATACACCATAGAATTCACATGTGATTTGCACAGGAATGCGGTGCGGTTCCTGTGCGAATCACATGCAATATGCCACGCCGCATCAGTGTGAATCCAGGCTAAAGCTAAATTGAACAAGCTAACGTTGGCAGCTGATTGGCTACCATGCAGAGAGCTGCACCAGATTTTGCACCACTTTTAGTAAATTTACCCCAATGTGTGTAGGGTGGACATGGCTGGTCAGACCTCAAAGACATCAACTTCTCCATGGCCTGTACATGTCATTTCTCACTCATAGTGGATGGTGCTTATAGCTAAATAAATATTACCTTCTATGAAATACAATATGGGATTTCACAGAAAAAAAAATATTTAGGACAAATATGACCCTCCGGGCTAAGACACATTCTTTATACCTTCAGTGTCGTCTTCATTTACTGAATCAAGACAGTAACATTCCGTCCTATGGGCTGGGGCACAGACAAACGAAGTTAAGCTGAGTAAAGTGAAAATGATCACCGTGTCCACAGTTCCTGGCCATTGTTTTCCCATAGCCACCCAGGCCACATAGAGATGCTAATAGGTAAGTTGTTTCCACCATGTCTGATGATTCATTGATTGCACAATAAGAAATTTACTAACCACAGAACATGTCCATGGATGTTCACTACCCCGTTCAAGCAGTTGTTAGCAGATTTCCCTGGCTAGTACTGGGCTGGTAGTGCTTGGCATCAATGAGGCAGGAGTAGGTCAAACTTCAGGCATGGTGTGCCCACCATGTCTGATGATTCATTGGTTGCACAATAAGAAATTTACTAACCACAGAACATGTCCATGGATGGTCACTACCCCATTCAAGCAGTTGTTAGCAAATTTCCCTGGCTAGTGTTGGGCTGGTAGTGCTTGGCATCAATGAGGCAGGAGTAGGTCAAGCTTCAGGTATGGTGTGCCCACCATGGCTGATGATTCATTGGTTGTGCAATAAGAAATCTACTAACCACATAACATGTCCATGGATGGTCATCACCCCATTCAGGCAGTTGTTAGCAGATTTCCCTCACTAGTACCAACCTTGTAGTGCTAGGCACCGGGGAAAAAAAGGGAATCAAAACAGTAACATTCTGTCCCATGGGTCGTGGGCATAGACAAGGAAATTAAGACAAGTAAAATGAAAATGATCACCGTGTCCACAGTTCTTGCCCATTGTTCTCCCCATAGACACCCAGGCTACATAGAAATCTACTAAGAGACATGGACTCTGCAAGGTCCCTCTAGGGTGAATTTGGAGGGGTCACAGGGCAGTCAGACATTTTTGCTCTGCTCTCAAAATGATAGAACAAATTGAGGAGCATCCATTGTTACAGTGTCAACTCTTTACATTGCACCAACTAACATCAAAGAAACCATGAGGCAGGAGTAGGTCAAGCTTCAGGTATGGTGTGCCCACCATGGCTGATGATTCATTGGTTGTGCAATAAGAAATCTACTAACCACATAACATGTCCATGGATGGTCATCACCCCATTCAGGCAGTTGTTAGCAGATTTCCCTCACTAGTACCAACCTTGTAGTGCTAGGCACCGGGGAAAAAAAGGGAATCAAAACAGTAACATTCTGTCCCATGGGTCGTGGGCATAGACAAGGACATTAAGACAAGTAAAATGAAAATGATCACCGTGTCCACAGTTCTTGCCCATTGTTCTCCCATAGACACCCAGGCTACATAGAAATCTACTAAGAGACATGGACTCTGCAAGGTCCCTCTAGGGTGAATTTGGAGGGGTCCAAGTGCTCTGCTCTCAAAATGATAGAACAAATTGAGGAGCATCCATTGTTACAGTGTTACCACTTTACATTGCACCAACGAACATCAAAGAAACCATGAGGCAGTAGTAGGTCAAGCTTCAGGTATGGTGTGCCCACCATGGCTGATAATTCGTTGGTTGCACGATAAAAAAATCTACTAAGCACAGAAGGTGTCCACGGATGGTCACCAACCAGTTCAGGCAGTTGTTAGTAGATTTTCCTTGCTAGTACCAAGCTGGTAGTGTTTGGCACCTGGAAATAAAAGTTTAAAAAGAAAATATTACTCTACATACCCACACTCTAACCTAGCCCTTAGGTTGACTGAAACACTTAAACACTAATCAACCCAAACCCAAGTTGGCCATATGTGAAACTGGAGATACCAACATGGCCATCTATGGCTCCAGTTTGGGCAGGTGTACTAGGAACTGGTGGAAACTGAAGCCGGTTGGCACCCTCCCACCCCAACATCTAAATCTAAAAATTGAAGGAACTGGGTGGAACATTGCAGTCAAGTGTGCCAACTATCAGAAAACAACAACCATCAGAAGACACTCCTCCATCCATGCTGTTTAGACTCAACCCCTACCTTTACCCTTAACACCCTCTTCCCCAATATATAAAGTATTTAATGTCTCTTCTGTAGACAAATGACTTGCTCTGATTTCACTGCACGCTGGGAGCTGCTTACAGCAAGTCAGTTAGAGCCTCATTTCCTGGCTGCAGGACATCCAGAATCATCCAACCCCAGCCTTACTGTCACTCCTTGAATTTTAGTTCTTACAATCATGGAGGCTCAGCATCACATGTGGGTGTTACCTACAGTGGTCTATATGCAAATGAAGCCTGCCTAGGAACACCCACCTGTCAATGCATATTTGCATAACTCCTCCCAAGAACCCACGCACTGCTTGCTTCAGAGCTGAGGGTTCATGGGAGGAGTACTGAGGCAGGGTGTTGTGAAGTTTTCTATGTACAGCACTCTGTTGGCCCCTCCCACCAGCCATGATCTACCTGCATGCACAGAGAAGCACAGAGACCAGGTAATGATGTTGCTGGGTGTAAAATATGTGTATTGCAATGAAAACGGAAATTATTTTAAAATGACATCAGCTTGTTGATGAGGGGGAACCAGGAAAGGCAAAATATAAGCAAATTAAACATCAGCTTTAACCCCATAAAATCTAACCCTAAATTTAACGCTTTAAAAAAAAAAAAAAAGTAAAATTTTTCTTTAGGTTGAATTAGAAAAGCATCAAGGGCACATTGGAAAGTCATAGGGGTTGATTACTAAAGAAAGTGCAAAATCTGCTGCAGCTCTGCATAGAAACCAATCAGCTTCCAGGTTTTATTGCCAATGCTTAATTGAACAAGCTGAAGTTAGAAGCTGATTGGCTGCCATGCACAGCTGCACCAGATATTGCACTCTCCAGTTTTAGTAAATCAACCCCAATGTGTCAACCGTGCGTCCTCAAAAGTTGCAGGCGATTGCTTTGGACTGTGCTATGACCGCCTGTGGTCTACGGGCACCTTAACGCTCGTAGGCATGAAGCCAACAGTCACGTGCGACAAAATTAATTGCGGTGGATGTAAGCACAGAGGTGGCGGCGTCCCCCCCTCCCCAAGCAGCTGCAACAATTGCAGGCTTGACACAGAATGCTTGAGCTGTACAGAAGCGTGAAGCTCCATACTTAGTCACCGAAGGGTGGGTGGGTGTGCAGCTTCACCCTCCCCCAGACACTCCCTCTGGCTCTGTCAGCAGTATCATGTTGCAGAGTCCTTGAGCCTCAGTCAATGTGAACACTGCTGTCTAAGAGGACTGTTCATCCCTTGGACTATACCAGCTAGGGACTCCTAGGACTAGAGCGGACTACAGGAGGGGGGAGGTGGTCAGCCTGCCTAGAATAACGCAGCAGAAGCTGTCACCCTTTAAGAAGACCCTTTTTTTTTTCCTGCTGCTTATACCGCCATCATGTCAACGGTACAAGTCATCTATCATCAGAAGATCCACAATTACCTCCTAAATTCGGTTTTCCCCAAAGACGACATGCCAGCTGGTGAGTTGCATCTGCAAAAAAAAAAAAAAAAATATTAGAGGAAATTGTTACTTATACCCTGAGTGTTGCGTTACTTGTAGAGCGATCTTTTTTGGTGTGCGTTGTATACGTTGTATCACTTGACCGGTTCAGTGGAAGTACATGGTGACTGTCTATGATGCATTAGGTTGTTAGAAATATTTTTTGCATGTGATTGTGATTCATGAGATTCTGACAGATCGTGACAGCCCCGGTTCAGATCCATATTAAAGGAGAATTTACAGTGATTTCTGTGATGCATGAGAGTGAGGGGGGGGGGGAGGCGGTGGGTTAGGTAACCACCGGGGACACCTAGCTGTGCAAAGGGAAACACACACCATCTGTGCTATTATGATATAACACCGGCTGCTGGTGCGTTTATTTTTATTTTTTTTTTAAACACACCGGCTTTTTCAGTTACGACATAGAAAAAATAAAAACAGAAATAAAATCCCAACACACCCATGACAGCATTCAGGGTGGGGGGGGGGGTCTCTAAGCTTAGATTCTCGATAATTCAGCTGACACAGATTAAAAACACTCCTTTTTTTTTCCAATTTTAAAACCGAAGAGCTTCAAATCATCGGTCACATGATGACATCTCTGTATGCACTGTTGACACATTGAAATCGAATTAGGATAGGGAGGACCAGGCAGAAGGTCACTGACCTCTGACTTATAAATAACAAAGGGTGGGGGTTGCAAGTGTGCAAAATCTATTTTTAGCCAGCTGCTGTGCCATCTAACTGTATTATTATTATTATTATTATTATACAGGATTTATGTACACATGAAATATTGCCAAACGCAAGAGTTGCTTTAATTAGAAGTAAAAAAAAAAAAAAAAAAGACCTGGAAAAAAATTGGTCAAAATTTAAAATTTCGACGTTGAAAATCCTTCGATAAAAAAATGTATCGGTGTAGATTTAAATTGCAGGTTCCATGCCAGGGGGGTGGGGTGGGGGGGTTGCCGGCGGACGCTATAGTGGAAGATGTAAGATTACATAACATGGCCGTTCTCGGGGATTCTAAAGGAGAAAGGTATTCGTGACCTGTGGAATTAACGCATTTAAAACGGTTGTTGTCGATGCATCGTGCGTTTGGCTAGAATACTACTTCCCTTTGGCTGAGGAGCGTACGGGAAGCTGAATTTTTTTTCTAAGCGTGCAAAAGGGAAAAAATGCCATCTTCAGCAACCTCCTAAAAATACTGCGTCGTAAATTGCTGCTCGAGGTAAGCGTATCTGGAAGCTGCACCGTGCTCCACCGTGGAGCGGCGGAATTCCTGAATATAAATAGGTGGTAGATCTGAGCCATTTGTAACTGCGTAGTAGCTCAGGGCGGTATTAAGAGGGAATTCTGTAGCAGGGAGGCGATGAATTGAGCGCCATAAGAGGTTAACAGAAATTTGTATGAGCTGGCTGGCAAGAAAAATGTCAACAAAGCGCTCACGGCTGGCGCCTAGTGGACGAAGTTCAAATCAAAACCACACCACCAGCAATTTGCTGGAGAGAGAGAAAGCGGTTAGGCAGCTGGCTTAGCATGACACACAACAAGGCGCGCCAAACAACAATACAACAACGTGATGCAGAAACGCGCGTGCTTCTTTTTTGTTAATTGGTCTCGGTTACGCTGGGTGTTCACCGGCGCGGGTTTCGATGACTTGCAAAGTGTTTTCTAAAATTAGAAGAGTGGAATGCCAGCGGCTCACAGGAGATCCTGACCTAAATAAATAGGAAACGCAAAGCTTAGTTTACAAATGACGTAAAGGTGAATTATACTTGGGGGGGGGGGGGAGGAGGGGACTTGTACATCACAAGGTGGATTTAACTCAGGATCCCAAATTCCGCACCCTAGGAACGGGGTAAAGCAACCCCCTGACCACTTTTTACTGGTGCGCCTATAAATGATGCGAATGTGATGGTAAATCAAGGCCGGTGGTTAGGTGTCTGGGTTGGCAGGCGCATGATAAGGTGCATGTCCCCAGGAGGAGCCGCTGAATTCGGCGGCAATATGATTGTTAATAAATCCCTTTATATTTTTATCCCAACTTTATTCTGGAAAATAATGGTCCCAAGTAACACAAGATAACATAAAAGGTGGTTGTAGAATGTGTGCGTGTTGTGTTGACATGCGTCACAAAAAATGGTATCTGCTGCATTCCTAATCCTGATTGGGCACGCCCAGGGGCGGACTGACAACTTATGGGGTGCCCCCGGGCAATAGGGGATCATGGAGCCCCCGTGTCCTCGCCCATACCCAAAAAAGCCTATAAAAAAAAAGCCAATGAAAGGTACCAGGGGCATTTCATGGGGCCCCCTACTGACCCCCGGCACTCAGGCAGTGCTCGAATGGTCAGTCCGCCCCTGGGCACGCCTAAAGCATAGCTAGCAATTTCTCTGTAGCACCAATTCCTTAAATGAGAAAGCCTAGCATCAGCATAGCTTGGAGTGACTAGGCTTACCTTAAACCAAGCCTCTTGGACAGCCTATCTCAACATTTTTTCAACCCCCAGTGGAACCCCCTAAAATAATTTTCAGATCTTGATGGAAACCTTACTAAAACTAATTCATTGGGGGTCAATAGGCAAAGTAACCCTTATATTGGTGGTCAGTAGGAAGAATTCCAGTGGTGGTCCGAATGCCACCCTTGCTGAAAGCTAAAAAGATATTTTGGTGTCCTGCTACTGGCTTTGCCAAGTGGTGTTGGCCCTGGAAACTATGAAGGTACCATCAAATGGTGGTCCATCAGCCATGGCTCAAGGAACCCCTAACAACCTCTGTAGGAACACCAGGGACCTTCAAATGGTGGTCATCACCACAGCTCAAAGGAACCCCTCAACCTCTGGACAGCTCAAGGTGGTCCAAACCCCAAGGAACCCCTAACAACCTCTGGAGGAACCTCAGGGTTCCATGGAACCCCAGTTGAGAAATGGCTGATTAGATCCTGCCATTTTCCACACGAGTTTCACCAACAAACGTTCTTCCTCAAGGGAGGATTCATCGGTAACCAATAGGCCCTGTCACGCCTCCTATTAATCTCGGGCCGGGTGTAAGAGGGAGGGAGGTGGGGGCTACGCCATAACACGCAGCAAATCCTGACAAACTTCATATAAACAAGCATCAAGGATGACATTAGAAAACAAAATTTGACACGCCTATAGAGAAGCATGACTAGAACGATCTGTATCTGAAGTCAGTTCATTTTCTACGACTATGACTGGTACCTTTGTGTATGAGATAGGCATCCAATGGAGGAGGATGTTGCTTTGTACATAGGCGGCATTTGTTAAAGTGTGTGTAAAACCCAACAATGAACTTCCTGTGTTATTTCACGGAGAGTAAAGAGCCCTCCAGGGCCCTATCTTGGGACTGTGGAATGATTAGATGTTATGTTGTGGAGGTGGGAGCATAGTATGGCAAGAAAAAACTGGGCAGGACTGACACCACTCAGTCCAAATAATTCTGCGTGTTGTCAGCCCACCACAAGACTGAGGGCTCATTTACATGGGAACAGCGTGAACAAGCATGTGCCTAGGAGCTGCAGATGTTTGTGTACAAATCAACGACAAGCTGCATGCTGGTAACTGAGCGTTCGCCTGCGTACAGAGACAGGCAGGCGTCCCTAGACACGGACTGTTTTACATCCAGGACTGCTCACCCGTTCCCTGTATGCTTGCAAATGCTCAGGTGTACGGTGACACGCAGCCTGTCTTTGCCTTGTATGTAAACACATGTCACTTCCGGACGCATCAAACACATGCCCATTTACGCTGTACGGGGGCCCTGTGAATGAGCCCTTGGGTGCCAACTGCATTTCTGACAGATTTACATCTATGTTCTATACTCAGAAGGAATAAAACGAAGGAAACTGCTGCGTGTGTAGGGCAGAGTGTACTCCATATTTTGCCCTCTAAGATTTTTTGGCGTGACATCATTGTACAGAAAGGAATGCACATATCAAGGCATGTCTAAAATGATCTGTGTGTTGTGGCAAGGTGAGGCGGGGTTTATGGTGGCATGTATGAGGTGGCTACAGATATATGTGAAACTTCTAAATAAGAGGAAGGTGCTGGTTTTATGAGGTGATTCTCTAGACAGGTTACCTCACAGGAATGCAGCGAAGATACAAATTACACAGGGGATTAAATATATATATATATATATATATATTAGTTTTATTTTTAATATGCACTGAGGTGTGTTGTAGATTGTTTTATGAGGTAATTCTCTATACAGGTTACCATCAGGAATGTAAACGAAAACAGATAAACTTAAATAGGGTATGGATATATAGAAGAAACTTTGTTATTTTCTGTTATTTTTTTACATTGCAAAGGGGAGATGTTTTATAAGATTGATTTTCTACACAAGTTACCTCAGAGGAATGCAGTGTAAACATACATATATATATTATATATATATATATATACCCCATTTCGTTTGATCTTACCCTGCATTTCTCTGAGGTGACCTGTTATAGAATTACTCATAAAACTTCTGATTACCTTTGTGCATGTTAAAAATAACCAAAAAAAAAACAAAAAAAAAAAAAATAAAAAAAAAATAAATATATATATAAACTATTTTTTTTAACTTGCACGTTTGATGTTTTGTGGGGTAATTCTGTATACAAGTTACATAAATCAAACAAATATTAAGGTAACACATACACAGGTATATATACTGTATACACATATACATAGGACACATATACACATGTCATTTTATCCTAGTTGCATTCTTCTGAGGTAACCTGAAATCACCTCATAAAAACAAAAGTACCTCTGTGCATGTTAAAAATAAACTTTTTAAAATACTATATATTATTATACAGGATTTAAATAGCGCCAACATTTGCTCCGCGCTTTACAATATAAAAACGGGGAAACAACAACAGCAAGAATACCAGATTCATACAATATATATATACATTGCATACATTAATATCTATCTATTAAAAAAATAATTTACACATATATATACATTACACACACATATAATATATAAATTACACATACATAACATATAACCATATAAACATACATACACATATATACAAAAATACAAATATAAATACATACAAAAAAAAAATATAAAAATATAAACCAATATAAATATTTTATATATTATATACATACATACACAACATATATACAAAAATAAATATATATATATATAAATAATATATATATATAACATATCTATATTTGCAGAGGTGTGGGGATGTTTTGTGAGATAATCTAGACAGGTTACCTCAGAGGAATCAAACTAGGATACAATGACGGATTGGTATACAGATATATTCTGCATTTTCTGTTACCTCAGAGATAAGGATGTGTATAAAAAAATAATATGAAATTATATTTATTAACATGCACAGAGGTGTGTGGGTGTTTTATGAGGTAATTCACAATACAGGTTACCTCAGAGGAATGCAGGGGTAATACATATAATTTAACTGTACACATATATACCAAACTCATGCCATTTTATCCTGGTTGCATTCCTGAGGTAACTTGTATTGTGAATTACCTCATAAAACATCCACACACCTCTGTGCATGTTAAAAATAAAGATAACACATAATATACATATAATATACATACACACACCCCCCATATCATTTTATCTAAGCTGCATTTCTCTGAGGTAACTTGTATAGAGAATTAGCTCATAAAACATCCAAACACCATCTGGGTACACTAACAAAAAATAAAAATAATATATATAATATATATATCTCATGAACATGCACAGAGACGCATGGAGATTTTATGAGGTAATTCTCTGTACAAGATACTTCAGACTAAGTGGTATATTGTTTGGCACATGGAAAATATATTGTTTTTGTTTCCGTGCACTGAGGCGTTTGATTGCTCTGTGAGGTAATTCTCTATACAGGAAATGTATGATGCTAGGGGTTATCTATGGAAATATGTTCCTTTCATCCCCTCTGGTCCCCATCTTTATGTGAATGTCCCTGTGGATGGTGTGTGAGCTCCTGCAGACCACCCAGCCCTGTCAGGCGGCCTCCCCCCTCAGCAGCCCTCCCTGTGTGGTGCTCCTTTACCTTATGTGATCCCGGATTTTGGCGCCAAAAGCAAACCCCACTCTCATCCTATAGGAATGTGAGGAGGGGAGGGGGGAGCACATGAAGCCCCCCTCTCTTTTCATATACTGCTCTTCTGTAAAGCCCACCGCTGTGCCCAGCAGGCATCACCTCATCCAACCCAATTGTTTTGCAAATGTGTAAACTCTCCCCCCTCGGCAGCCATGACTTCATAGGGTGATTGGCTGCTAATGAGAATGCTGGAAATTTCCAACTCTCAGTAAAGAAGTTAGGAAATCTACTCCACACATTGTTTAACTTTTGTGTTTGGGGGGCAGTTTGGAAAAGGCGGGTCTATCCTGGAGGAGGAGGGGGGTAGGAAAGACAATAGCAAAGCATTGCTTGCATAGCCACGCCCCCTCGCTCGTTTTACATTTAAATGCTTAGTCCGCTGCTGAGCGCTGATTGGCTGTTCGGTGCTGGGAGGTGTGTTTGAGGGAGGGAGAGAGAGAAAGAGAGGGAAGGACCTGCCCCGCCTTGGCGCGCGAATAGAACTCCCGGGACGCGCTCTGATTGGTCGCGGTCGCGCGGCTCCCTGGTGCTGATTGGCCGGCTCAGGGACAGAAGGGAGTGAGATACAATATTCAGAGCTCTCAGCCCACACGTGGAGCTTCTTCGTTGTTCTACCGGCCGGCTGCACGCGTGCTTGTAGTGTTTAGTACATTCCGGGTATCGCAAGGATTGGAAGGGCGATCATGCTGCTGGCTACACAGGGACCGTTCGTGGAGCATCACATCCAATGTTATTATAGGAAGTCCGGGAATAATAATAATAGTGAAGAAGAAGAAAGATGATAATAATAATGATGTCAGCCCGGGGTCCTCCAGTCCCTGCCCGGAGGCTGATGAGCAGGACGACCTCGGAGGTCAGTAAACGGGGGATCAGCACACTGATGGCGCACGTGGTTGTGTGTATGTATGTGTATGTATGTATGTGTGTGTATGTGTATATATATATATGTATATATATATATATATATATATAAAATCCTTTTTTATTTTCTATGTATGATAGATTTTTTTTTTTCTGTTGTGTTTTTTTTTGTGTTTGTTTTTACATATTTGGGTGTGTATGTATTATATATATATACACACACACACACACACACACATATATATAGATAGAAGTATTCATTTTTTTTTAAGATGCGATTTTTTTTCCCATTTTGTGTGTGTGTATAATATATTTTAAGAAAAATAATATATCCCATTTTCATCTATATTATGTTTGTGTGGGGGGGGGATGTATAAAAAGTCTAGAAAAAAGATATAGATAGAGATATATATATATATATATATATATATATATATATATATATATATATATATATATATATATATATATATATATTTTTTTTTTCTTCTAAACATTTTTATAGATAATTGTTTCCTATAATTCGGCATGGCCATCCTGGCTTGTCATTGGCTGGGCTCTGCCTGCCGCTGCGGATCTGTAGCCATTCTCTGGTTCAGCTGCAGCCTGTGATCTCTGTATGAATGGCTTTGATCCTCTGTGTACAGTCGATGTGGATTATTACTCTGTGTATATACTGCACATGGGGGGGGGGGGGGAGGGGGCGGTTGTGATCGCTGTGCAGAGGATGGAGATGTAGAAATACTTTGTATCTTTTCCGATGATTGTTGTGGATGTTACAGGTCAGTGTGCAGTGCGGAGGATACATTGTATATAGGGGAGATCACAAGGATGATGGGTGGGAGCATGCTGTGTATAGATGGAGGGGTGGGGGGGGGTTACTGTACAGATGATTATACATGGGGGAGGGGGGGGGGGTTGCACTATTTATAGTTCTCTGTAGATAGAGGGTGTACTATATAAAGAGTGGGGGGGCACACTGTACAGATTATAGGTGGGGGGGCACACTATACAGATTATAGGTGGGGGGGGGCACACTATACAGATTATAGGTGGGGGGGGGGGGCACACTGTACAGATTATAGGTGGGGGGGGGCACACTGTATACAGATTGGGGGGGTGGGCAGACTGTATACAGCTAATTATAGGTGGGGGGGCACACTGTATACAAAGTAATATTGATGGAAGTGGGGGGGGGCACACTGTATACAGCTAATTAGGGGGGGCACACTGTATACAGCTAATTAGGGGGGGCACACTGTATACAGCTAATTAGGGGGGGCACACTGCATACAACTAATTAGGGGGGGCACACTGCATACAACTAATTAGGGGGGGCACACTGCATACAACTAATTAGGGGGGGCACACTGCATACAACTAATTATAGGGGGCACACTGTATACAGAGTAATATTGATGGAAGGGGGGGGGTACACTGTATACAGAGTAATATAGATGGAAGTGGGGGGGCACACTGTATACAGCTAATTGTGGGGGGGGGCACACTGTATACAGCTCATTATAAGGGGGGCACACTGTATACAGAGTAATATAGATGAAAGTGGGGGGGGCACACTATATACAGCTCATTATAAGGGGGGCACACTGTATACAGAGTAATATAGGTGGGGGGGGCACACTGCATCCATCTAATTATACGTGGGAGCACACGTAGCAGAGCTCAGAATGAACATGCGTGACGTGCCCATCCATTCAGCTTCCACTCGCAGCCGTCACTGTCTCCCTGCGTCATTGCACATGGTCTGTTGCTAATAGTAAGATGTATCTGCAGTGTTGTGTCCACATCCTCTGATCTGGGAGCTACACTCCATGGCTGTGCGCGTCCCCCTCCTTCCCCCGCCTCCCCCCTCCTTCCACAATCCTGTGCTTTGCATTACCTGCAGTATGTGGCGGTTCTTGGATGTGCCACCTGCAGCAAGAGAGGCTGCAGCTATTGATCTGGCTGGGGTGGGGGCGGCTTTGCAGATGATCTGTACGCTGTGGTGCAGTGAGCGAGCGGCAGAGTGTGGGTGTGGGGTGGTCTCCTCCTGAGGGAGGGGTTTCCCTGGGATACCCGCAGAGCTAAGCCTGGGAAGGGGTTTGCCTGTTCTGCAGGGAGTCTCCCTGGTCCTGCTGTTTTCCAGAAGATGCTGCTGTGTGAGTTGCTATACATATAAATACACAACCGTTGCACACAGGACTCATTATGACAGCATCACGGCCTTTCTGCATCATGACTCACCCTCTGTATACGTTTATGAAAATGTCTAGTGATGAGTAAGAGGCTCATGTTCTGAGATCATCACTTAACATGAGCCGATATAACGAGATGGGGGGGTCTGCGTGGACCTCACACTCCGTTGGTTCAGCCACTGCAGTGCCATGGATGTTCTTGCTGTACCTGCCCTTAGTATTCTTTCAGGTAGATCGATTTCCAAGATACAGGGATGTTTGGCGGCATCAACCGTTGGCTAACCTTTTGCTTTCCGTCTTCCTTTGCAGTCAAAGAACCCTTCGAGGACTGCTACAAGGTGGGGCCCGTGATCGGCACCGGGGGATTCGGCACTGTGTATTCCGGAGTCAGGATTGAAGACAAGTTACCGGTAAGTCGTTTTGTATATGAGTAGTAGAGTGGTACAGTTAACCCCTTATATCATATTGAATCCTAAACCTTTTACTATTTGTAGTTAAGTCTAGGTGCCCCCCCCTTTAAATTAGTGTTTGCAGTCAGTTTTTTTTTTTTTTTTTTTTGAAAGAGCCAGCTTGTTGAGAAGGGTAAATGATCATTCCATAAATGCATCACATATAGTGCATACTAAGGGCGTCTCTAGGGTTGGTGTCGCCTGGTGTGATGACACTTGGGGGTTGATTTACTAAAACTGGAGCATACAAAATCTGGTGCAGCTGTACATGGTAGCCAATCGGCTTCTAACTTCAGCTTGTTCAATTAAGCTTTGACAATAAAACCTGGAAGCTGATTGGTTTTTATGCAGAGCTGCTCCAGACTTTGCACTTTTCAGTTTTAGTAAATCAACCCCTTGGTGACTCCCCCTCTGACAATCACCGCAGAATGGATCGGATCTGCGGATTGCGCATAATGGATCAGACCCCGATCCATTATGCTCCCCAATCTGCAGATACGATCCATCCTGCGGGGTTCATCAGCTTTCTACAAGTTACCTTTTTTGGTGAGCGGGTCTGGTGTCACCCACGTATAGGCTGCATGCTGACGATCCCTGCCCCTGCAGGATGGTTCGGATCTGCGGATTGAGCATAATGGAATGGAGTCTGATCCATTATGCTTCCCAATCCACAGATCCGATCCATCCTGCGGGGATCATCGGCATGCAACCTATACAGGGTGATGCTAGACCCGCTCCACAATAAGGTAAGATGTAAAGAAGGCAGACGATCCCCGGATGGATCGGATCCATCCTGCGGGGATTGTCAGCTTGCTTGGCAACTTACCTATTTTGTGGGGCGGGTCCGGTGTCACCCGGTGTGGTGCACACACCCCCCGCACCAGCCTCGGGACGCCACTCGTGCATCCCATTTCATTCAATGGGAGAACAGTACAGTCTATTGGGGACTAAGTGAGCAATACAAACAAATGCTATCTTTTAGGTTTGTAGTTGGATTCCATTGAAATGATGCGTTTTTATTTTAAAAACTGCTACATTGCAACTTGTGTATTGGCGGTACAACTAAATTTTTATGTTTTTTGTTTACAGGTTGCTATCAAGCATGTGGCAAGAGACCGGATTGGAGAGTTCAAGCACATGGTAAGCGGTCCCATTATTAACAGCTCAGATTGCTAATGGCGTATCGCATCAAAATGCTAAATCGGCCTGGCTGCTCGAGGCTTATGATGGGTTTTTTTTTGTTCTAGAATGGCACCCTTGTCCCTCTAGAAATTCACCTTCTAAAGAAAGTGTCGACGGGCTGTCGTGGGGTGATCAGACTTTTGGACTGGTATGAGCGGCCGGACGGTTTTATCATCGTCATGGAGAGACCGGAGCCTGTTCAGGATCTGTTTGACTTCATTACCGAGCGGGGAGCCTTGGGCGAGGACGTGGCCGCCAACTTCTTCCGGCAAGTGGTGGAGGCTGTGCTGCACTGCCACGACTGCAGCGTCGTGCACAGAGACATCAAAGACGAGAACATTCTGGTGGACCTCAGGACAGCTGAGCTGAAGCTGATAGATTTTGGCTCCGGTGCACTGCTGCGGGATGCAGTTTACACAGACTTTGATGGTTAGTCTCCATTCTGTCGCCTGTTTTTAAGGTTTTGTTTTTGGTGTTGAACCACATGCAGGACTTCTTTTTTAAAAGAATGAATTGGGGTTAATCGGGTTAAAACAGTTCATGCAGGAGAGTGGTGCCTGTTCAGTTTTCAAGCATACTTGGTGCTGAGCTCTTGACACATGAGAAATTTTTATGCATGCTGGCAACCGAATTCCTGGGACTTGACACTCTGATGAGCCAAGTATACATTGGGGTAGATTTACTAAAATTGATGCATGGTAGCCAAGCAGCTTCTATCCTCCACATGTTCAATTTAAGCTTTGGTAAGAAAACCTGGAAGCTGGTTTCTATGCAGAGCTGCACTAGATTTTGCTCTCTCCAGTTTTAGTAAAACGACCCCATTGAGTCCCAAGTATTGATGTGCCCTCAATTTTCCATTGCTTTGGGATCCCCAGTGACTCTTTTTAAAGTTATGGGTGCTTTAAAAGACATGTTGCATTGGTTTGTTACTTTTTGGATGTTCTAGGGTCTAAATGTTCTCGTTTTTTATTTACAGGTACACGAGTGTATAGCCCACCCGAATGGATCCGCTTCCACCGATACCATGGGCGTTCAGCTACTGTGTGGTCCCTCGGCATCCTGCTATACGACATGGTGTGTGGCGATATCCCTTTTGAACACGATGATGAAATTCTTAAGGGCAAGATCCAGTACCGCTGCAGGGTGTCAAGAGGTAAGCCAGTTCTTCCTACACTCAGTCCTAAAGATGCTTGCTGCTTTTGCATTATTATACAGGATTTATGGCGCCAACAGTTTGCTCAGCGCTTTACAATATAACGGGAGACAATACAGCTTCAATACAAGAGGGATAGAAGGGCCTGCTCCTTGGAGCTTACAATCTAGGAGATTTAGCCACACCGTACACCCAGCCACGGTCACTGCAGCTGACTGCGCAAGCAGTCACAAACCGCTTTGGCTGCCATTGCACTTTATGGGCTTTTTGGGTGCAGCTATCAGGGCCTACTAGTGTTCCCCTAGATTTGCAAGTACTAGTTTACTGGCTTATACTGATCCATTCCCTTTTAATTTTTATTTATTTCAGGTACTTGTATAGCGCCGTCAATTTACGCAGCACTTTACATATATATTGTACATTCACATTCACATCAGTCCCTAACCCTCAAGGGGTGTACAATCTAAGGTCCCTAACTCACACAATGTAAGGTCCCTAACATACATACATACACATACTAGGGACAATTTAGACAGGAGCCAATTAACCTACCAGCATGTCTTTGGAGTGTGGGAGGAAACCGGAGTACCCGGAGGAAACCCACGCAGGCACAGGGAGAACATGCAAACTCCAGGCAGGTGGTGCCTGGGTTGGGATTTGAACCAACGACCCTAGTACTGCCAGGCGGAAGTGCTAACCATTTAGCCACTGTGCTGCCCTTTTTTTAATACTTCGAGTCTCTGACCTGCAGCTAGTTTGCACATCTGGCAAGTCGTAACTTTTAAAATATTTTACTATTAGCATCTTTTTTTATTAGGTCCATACGACATCCAGGTGTTTCAACTTGTCATTTTAGTCTATATATTCCCTTTATGGGTTACTTTTAACAAGGGGATTAAAGAGGCTGGTCTTGTATAGCGGAGAAGAACGTGTTTTAGTTGCTATGGCTAATACAGTTGGTCTTGCCACGGTCTGTTAGTATAATTGGCCCCCAGCATAGCTAACAGATATGTAGTTGGTGACTCTTTGCATTAATTACACACCTATGTTCCATGTTCTAAGTTCCCTCTTCTCCTCCTCCTTCAGAGTGTCAGCATTTGATCGAGTGGTGCCTGTCAAAGAGACCCTCAGACCGACCATCCCTTGAACAGATCCTCGCACATCCCTGGATGTCACAGCAACAGCTTCTAGAACAAAAGGACAATGGCAAAGTAACAAGAAAGCTGGACCAAGAATCTAGCAGCTCAAGTCAGGAAAGCCTCTGAGCCCAAAAACTGACGCTCGCTGAGCGACCTGGGAAAGGATATTACGCAGTCCTGGTGCGGATGGGCTGGCGTGGATCTGATCGTCCGGTCCGCAGGCTTGGGATTCCCAGTGGGATAGAAGGAGCTGTCCCAGCCAAGTGATATACCTCGATGGGGGTCTTCAGAAGGAACTTTTGTTTGCTAAGGAATGTGATGACTTCAGACTGTGGACTATCCTAGAGACCCCTCACTTTACCAAGAGACTGATGGTGGGGGTGGGAAGGGGATGTGAGCAAGCAGGACGGGCGGGTAGCCTGCTATGCCATGAGGGGCTTCACTAGCAAGCATATATTGTATCTTGTGTACCTTTTTTTTTTTTTTTTTTTTTTTTTTTTTTTTTTTTTTTTTTTTTTTTTAAATCAGGTCCTTTCTGCTGTTGACAACATGTTACGAACAAGTGCTTGCTTTTAGAAGTGCATCCACCTAAATGTTGACTCAACCCAAAATCTTTAGTTTTCGGATAGGTGCTACACACTCGAAGCTCTCTGGTGTCTTATGTTCTTTTGGTATGTAGCAACAGGCTTCCCTATGGCCAACATTGGAGTCTTGCTTATCCTCACACATGTAAATGCAAGACCCAACACAAGGTGGTTGAACCTGGGAACACATCCATTTTTTTTTATTTTTTTTGGGTGGAATTGGCCTTTAGTCAAACAGCATGCCAACAAGTAAGCAATATTACCCATATATCAGACTGATTAGAATGGGTAGTAATAGCTGCCCATTTTATTCTTTTCTGTTTTAAATGTTCTTGTTTTTGGGGGGGATGTCTGTCTTAGAGGGATGCACTTCTCAAAATACCAGCAGGTTTTAATAAGGCTGTAGAATCTAGAAGTTAACACAAGACCTGGTAAGGGATACTACTTTTGCTGTGTATTCCACGTTTTCAGAATTTTTTTTTTTTTTTTTTAATATATGTGTTTTTTTTTTTTCAAACAGTCTAGATTGCTGAAACATGTGTTCCACAGTCTTCATATCAACTGTTGCGAATTCTGAGGCTCCACACTGTCCCATTGTACGATCAATGGAGGATTTTTTTTTTAATATGTATAATGTATCCCTCCTTGCTGCTAATAGGGGACTGTCACCTTGGCACAGTAGTGAGGGAGTTAACCGAAAAGCTTGCTCAGGGAAACTGGCTTAGCGCTGGTATTTCTGGCAGTGCCTGCATTCTCTAGGACCGCTCGTCAAACATTACTCCACAGGAATGTATGCCGGACCTTTTAAACCGAGGCTTTGGATCAGTCTGTTTTTTTGTTTTTATGGTGACAACTGTATTGGTTGTCAGCAGAACTGGTTTACAATGAAAAATTATCATTGCAATTCTTAATTTATTACTTTTTTGTTTATTTTACATCTTAAACAACTTGGGCAAAGTTGTCTTCATGGCCTTAAATCTTTTTAAAAATGTTCCTGTCATTTTGTTGTACATTATTTCTATGTTTGTTAAAGTGCCCTGGGCAAATTCATCATCCTCATCCTGTGGGCAGATACATGTAGACATGCATGATCTACTCCAAGCAACGTGCTGTTATTGTGAACTTCAGTTCTGGTGTGGGGTAAATATGTTTACAGTTGATACAACAGAACATTGATTTAGGGGCTCACTGTTGTGTTGAGCAATGGTTTTAGTTCTGAGCTTGCCCTTTTTTTTTTTAAAAAAACGTAAAGCGTACTTTGTTGGTGAAGGCAACGACATTTTTTTAGTATGAGGAATATTGGTAAAAAATTGCCATTTTCCTTCCTCATGGGCTTCAGGCCGGTACATCAGTTGCCTTTTGATACAGGCGCTCTTTAAGGACGCTTTGAAATTCTTCATTTTCTTAACACTCACTCCTCAGTACCTTACTGATCATTCCCACACTGAGCAAAATGGGTTTAACTCTGCCTAATGGAACCAGTTGGGTATAAAAATGAATCTTGGGTACATCCTGTACCCTTACAGTGTTCACTGGTTATGTCCTAATTTATTTAATTTAATCTATGTAACTTGCGCCTTTTTTTTCCAATTTCGTGAGGCGGACTTTATTTATAAAGTGACTTTTTTGTTTCTTATGAATGATATTTATAAGAATCTTTGTTACATTCTGGACATCAGAATTTTTTTTTTTTTGGGTCAGTTTTATTTAATGTTTAATTATATCTATTTCTTTTAATAAAATTTTTTTACGAGGTAAATCTTCTGTTGTGTATCTTATTTATTCAGCAAACTATGACTTTGATGAGGTCTATTCTAGGGCAAAGTGATGGGTTGTCTTGGAAGCCTGCCCCAAACCACCAAAACTTGCCTCTACTGCGGTTTCTCCATCTGAGTGCTTGGAAATGCCCGAGTTCTAGGTACAGGGAGCATGTGACCTTCTCTCCTTCCTTCTGGGATGCAGTGGCTGGATTTTAGTGGCTGTTTGCCATATCTGAGCATTGTTGAGTTAGGGCAGTGGTGGCCAGATGTGGCCCTTTGCTTTCCTTTATCTGGCCCTTGCGGCACTATTCCATCCACTGACACCACCAAAGGGGCCCAATTACACTGACGGGACACTACTCTTCCCACTGACACCAACAATGGAGCGTTGTTTGCTCCCACTTACGCCAGGCCATTTTCTACTCAGACCAGTCTTACCCCCCCCCCCCCCCCCCCCCCCCCCCCAGTCTGAAGGACAGTAAACTGTCTCTTTGGCCTTGGTTCACATATATGCGGGGCTGCTTTGCAATGCAATTTGTAAAATAATCCGGTGTGATTTTGTTCAGTGATTCAGGTGTGAATTGTGTAGGACACTGGAAATTGCACCTGAACTGAGCTGAAAATTGTACCAGACTTTTTCAATCACTGCAACTGGCCCACACATGTGAACCGGCTCCATAAAAAAGGCTCTTGGATTATATGCCATGCAAATTGGATGTGTTCAAAATGCATTCAATTCACATAAATGCAAACCAGTTCTCAGAATGTTTGTAGACCCCTGGGTTAGAGGACCAGGTTATTGACTGGTGTGGAGCTTACACAACGTTTGGACCCATGGCTCCAGTGAGGGAACAAGGCTGTGGTGGCAACATGGTGAAGTTTAGTATCGGTGGGTGTAAGGGTAAGGGTGAATGTTTGTTTTTAAGAGCCTCTCATTTTGAAAATTCCTGGTTGCATATGCATGCTGCAGTGGCCCTCCCTTTTTATTACTACGGCTGGAGCTGTATTCCTTTGGATGGCTGAGGGCTGCCATTGCTACCAAGCATCTATAGAAATGAGAAGGCCAAGTGGTGTGCATTTCTATGGATTTGGCCAGGACTAATATGGAACTTTGGGGGCAAGTAATATCACCCTCCTGAGCATGAAATAATGAATCAAACAAACAATACTTCGAAGAATTGAAATTTTGGATTGACAAAAGCAGACAAGTACGGTGTGTATTGCCTAATTATCTCCCACTACCAGCCCTTGGTAGATCCAATGACAGCTGAGGGCCTGGAGCAGGATATCTGGATCCTCATACTCTTTGCCACAATTGTTCTAGTTTTTCTGGTTGAAAAGAGATTGTTGAACAGGAATTTTTAAAGCGTAAAGAGTAGGGAAGTGTAAGACTCAATATTTATTGCTTTAAAAAAAATAAAGCATACCACATGGACTCCTTGTTAAGTATAAAAGTGGGGTGATGGCAAAATGGTGGTACTGTGAAAACCCAATATTATTCCAGGTATTATACAGGATTTGCACAGCGCTTTACAAAATGAAGGTATAGATAACCGTTACAATACAATTTGGTACAAGAGGAAACTGAGGGCTCGGCTCATTAGAGCTTACAACTTACTGTATATAGTGCTGCAAATGTATGCAGCAATATATAGATATAGATTAAAATATATATATATATATATATATATATATATAGTGAAGGAAATAAGTATTTGATCCCCTGCTGATTTTGGATGTTTGCTCACTCACAAAGAAATGATCAGTCTAAAAATCGAATGTTCGGTGTATTGTAACACTGAGAGACAGAATAGCAACAAAAATTTCAAAAGAAATGCATGTCTAACAAATGATGACTGATTTACATGTTACTGAGGAAAATAAGTATTTGATCCCCTATCATTCAGCAGGATTTCTGGCTACCAGGTGTCTTTCATACAGGTAACAAGCTGAGATTAGAAGCAGTCTCGTAGCCTCCCTGGCGGTATTCCGGGGTGTAGCTTGGGGTAAAGTTTCAGTACCAGAAGCGTTAACCCCGAGCTACACTCGGGCTTACCTTTGCGGCGCTGCTCCGGGATCCCTCAATCACTTACCTTGTCCTGCGCTCCCACGATGTCCCTCCTGCAGTGTCCCCGGCAATGTAATCCGGTGGATGCCGGCATCTGTCTTCTGGGTTCCTTCCCCTGCGAGTACCGGGACGTACGGGGGCCGGGACGGTGGGAAATTTGAAAATGACAAAAAGTGACATTCACTAATCACATAGTAAAACCTTACTGTATCAAGCCATTTCACATACATTTTGTCCTGTGCCCTGCCTGCATTTTTACTGTTTCTGGAAACTGAGAACGTCCATGGCATCCCTTTAGGTCAAAAGCGGTTTTAGACCGGCTAGAGAACAACGATAGTAAATCAGAACCACTTGCAGAAATGAGTGATAATGATTGGTGGGGGAAATTCATCATCAGACACTGAAAATGATTTTGTGACTTTGCTCAGTGATGTGCAAACTTGGTGCTATATTTCAAATTTCAGTGTTTTTGGTTTGATTATGTTATTGAATTAAATTTATTATATTATTTTGATTATTAAATTATAATTTATGATTTTTGTTTTCAAGTTTTATCATACCTGGGATGTTTACTAGACTCTTGTTCGGACAGATATCAGTGAGTTATTCCTAAAATTTACAGGCCTAAAATAAAAAAAATACATATTTCCATGCAACAAAAATTTACCACTTTAAGCACAGAAATATGGACATAATCAGACTGCTAGGGAGGTT